CCCGGCTGGTTTTGCTTGGCAAAAAATTGTTGATGACTGGGCTGACTGGAATAGGTGGATGAAGAATCAAGGGGGCATAGGAGTGCAACCAGAAAAGAGCTGGGAGTCATGGTGGAATGGTGAGAATGCACATCTACGTCACTCAGTATTGAGTTCTAGAATTCTTGAAGTGCTGCTCTCCCTACGCTTCTTCATATATCAATATGGCCTTGTCTATCACCTGAATATCTCTCAAGACAACAAGAATTTCCTTGTCTACCTGCTTTCATGGGTCGTAATTATTGCCATTATTGGTTTTGTTAAGGTATCTACTTCATCTCCAGAATTCTATATTGTTTCATACAATTGAGATTCTTTTTATTATGCTGATTTTTCTTTCCAAGCCGAATATTCATTTGTTAAAATTGCTGCAGCTTGTCAATTGTGCTAGCCGTCGTTTGAGCACAAAGCACCAACTCATCTTCAGGCTCATAAAACTTTTGACATTCCTCTCAGTGGTTACTTCCTTGATCCTTCTCTATTGTCTCTGCCAATTATCTATCATGGATCTGATCATCTGTTGTCTGGCATTCATACCAACTGGCTGGGGTCTCCTCCTTGTAAGTTTCAACTGGCAGCTCACCATTTTTGCCAAATTTAGTTCCTTTTGCTGCATTACACCCTAATTTCTTCCCATTGTCTTACAGATTGTTCAAGTTTTGAGACCCAAAATAGAGTACTATGCAATATGGGAGCCTATTCAGGTCATAGCTCACGCATACGACTATGGAATGGGATCTCTGCTTTTCTTCCCGATCGTTGTACTCGCATGGATGCCTGTTATCTCGGCCATTCAAACTCGGGTTCTTTTCAACAGAGCATTTTCCCGGCAACTACAGATCCAGCCTTTCATTGTAGGCAAAACTAAACGGGGATAGCATAACTGATGGTTTTACACGGATGCGTATTGGGGATTTGTGAATATGATCTATTTGTTGGTCAGCAGGGCAATAAGTTTCTGTACTCTGGTAGCGTAAATGTCGTGTGCAGTGTGACCCATGATTCTTTGGTCCAAGCCTGTGCCAGATCTAACATAGTAATACCTCAGTTTCGGCTTTTGTCGCAGTGTAACTTTTACATACCGTCTCTGTAAAAAGAAACAGCTCTAGCATTGCTCTTAGATGAGTCATGACTCATGAATCTCATGATACCTATACAGTTACAAAGGTTCTATCTTATTTCCAATATATTTTATGGTAACATTAGGGAATATATTGCGATCAACTTCACGTACAGCAAGCTTGACAAAGAATTCATGTGGTTGAACTGCTGCCTGACTATCGAGATACAGAGGTTGCGCGCAGGTGTGCCATTTTGGCATTCAAACGCCTCCAGAACCAATAGGAAAATTGTTGAGCTCATGGATTCCCAACGCAACTGCATCGTGTTTCTTCATGTGTGGTTGCTTTTAAATGGCCCAAGCATATATTGCCATGTCACAGACTCACAGTTGATTACAGAATGGCTGGCCGGAGCCGGTTCCAGTCGGATTGGATTTAGGTGGCCACAGATTGAGCAGCTAGCTGATTTTGCAGTCTGTCGATAATTCGGTAGTGATGGACCCCAGGTTGTTAACATGATATTACTTTGGCCATTTTGTAACCTACCCTACACTGTTTTATATAGGATTAGTTTTTTTTTCTAAGTCAATGTTTAATTTATTAGCATTGATAAAACGCACCAATATCTACGCAGATCGTTTTATGTCTTATTGTCCATCTTCTACACTAGTCTTTATTTTCCTCGATATATCTCAGATGAAACACTCTTTTGAGTGTCTTTGTCAAAAAAATCAGAATATTGAGCATTTATCTGGTAATTTTAAATGTTATTAGTATTTGTGTCATGTAAGGGACACAAAAGCAGATGAAAAAAAAAACCTGTGGCCCAAGTAAATAAAATAAAGGGGACAGGAGCTACCAGTGAGTGCATAAAGAAGAGAAGTGGTCCATGCCTTGGTTCATCCTAACCCACAGCATATATAATCCGCAAGGCACTGATGAGTGATTTAACGTCACGAGATCAAGGCTGGGGGCCGCCGTGCATGTGCTGCTACGGCTGGCTGGCTGTCAAAAAGGAACATCGCTCACGAGTACCCACCCCTGCTGGCTGGTGTGCATCTCTACCTCTACTTGGGTTTTAGTTGGGAAAAAAAACGCAGCAAAGGGGACCCTGCAGCTAGCGACAGCCGTAGGACAGCATCAATAGATCGACGCGCATTGGCGCACACGGCAATGGCGAGCACACGGCGGGGCGGATACTACGTGTAGGAACTCGGTAGAAGGAAACTTTTTTATATGGTTACACACAGTACAGTGCGATGCAAGGAAGGCACCATCTGCCGCATATGCACATGTGCAAAGCAAAGGGCAGCCTGATGTATATAGCTAGCTAGGTGGAGAACATACATACACACACGTTGCGTTGGAGGCTGTTGGAGGTTGGAACAATGCAATGGAATGGAATGCAAAGCGGAAGGCGGGCGGCCGGTGCATGTGAGGCGGTCGGCCCTGTTCGTGGGAATGTCCTACGCCCAGCGGGCACATGGCCATGGGGGCGGAACCGCAACGCATTATTTGAGCCTGTCCTGCCCCTGCGCCACTTGTTGCTTACGACGCCTCGCTCTTGCTTACGGTCGTTCCCCGGCCGTCTCTTCTCTCTCTAACCATCACTACTACACCTAGTAGCAGCGATTTCTCATGAACTAGTAGTATGATTGTGTGAACTAATAAAGAATTGCTACATATGAGTGCAAGAAAGAATTCATGGTAAATCAAACAGTTGAATTGCGTAAAATTTATGCGCTCCAATTGGAGACCATGCATTGCACGGCAAAATTAAAGACGGTGGACTTTGGTGTGGAGTCAGAATAATCTAAATGCAAATTTTTGCAATCTAATACTCCGTTTCGTTTGTATTTGACAAACTAGCTTAAAAGATTTATTTACAACCAAATTGTGTAATTAGTTATTTTTTCACATTTAATGCTCCAGCAGAGCAGGCAGTTTACAAGCAGAGCAGGCAACCAAACTACATGCATCTTTTGAGCCACGTTGGGTTGGGACTTTGGGACTACTGCGCCCTCCTTCCCTCGGCCTCATGTGCCGCTGCCGCCCCGCCCCGCCCCGGCTACACAAATCATGGTAACAGACAGCGCATGACAGAAGAGAAGAATATAAAGCATCCATCCATCATGCCCGCCGTTTCATTTCAGTCACATATATTAATCTTTATCTATCTAATGATTCATTCCCCAGTATGTAACTGTTAGCATAACTACGCCATGCATGCATCCAGGTCATTTGGCATTTTCCCTGGACAGCAACGTTTCATCCTTATCTGAGTTATCTCCATTCACGATAGCTAGAATCTGGATCTGGCATGTACATCGATGCCGAATTTGAACTGTTCGTAGCATGGCAGACGAGAGCAAGTGACCACACCTTGTCTGGTCCAGGCGTCCACCACGTGGTTGAGCTGCTCTGCAGTCTGCAGCTGCCCAGCTGAGTGACGAGCTGCTCAAGTCTGAAACCCAGAACCAGAAGCCAGTCTCTTCAGCTCCACGATTAATTAGTGGGCGAAAAACATTTACAAGTACCACTAGTACTACTAGTACCGGTCTATGTTATCTATCTATCCATCTATCTATCCTACATTTCTACTATCTTCACTCATCAGCATGTGCAGTTATATATGTACTGGGCCTAATGCCATGCATGTTCCTCCACAGCCTCTCACTTAGCTGTTGCTAGCTGTCTGCTTCCCCGCATCATGTGACCTCCCTCCACCCTTGCTCCTACTTGCCACCCTTTTTTCTTCCCGTAATAAATAAAACAAATAAATGGACCCTAACTAACTTTGCCCAGCTAGCTAATTACTGTACCTTTTGATAACTAATCACAAAGGTCATTACATGCATCATCTCATCCATAGCAGAGCACAAGCTCCCTGCTGTACCACCAAGGCACCAATAGCTAATTAACATAGTAGCATCAACATTACACATCTTGGCAATAATTTGATCTTGCTTAAGTATCAAGAACAAATGCTAGAAACTAAAGGTCAACTAGGAGCAGTAATCCATTTTGACAAGGCAACAAGATGAAATCATTGCCCTAGCTAGGCATAGTAGTAGAGTACTCCTAACCACCTAACCTACCATATCTCTTGGATCTTGATATGCATAGCCCTAAACACATGCACGATGCTGCAAGAAATGGACTCTAAAGGTCACCAGCTTAGTTATAGCTCGCATGCATGCAGATGCAGGGGGTGTTTAGATGTTTTTGAAATGATAAAACTTTTGCTTTTAATTTTTTGCTATAAAACTTTTGCTATTCAAATTTTTAGCATTTGGTGTTTAGATGTATGGCAAAACTTTAGTCATGCAGACACAGCACGCGCTCCCAAGACGTTTTTTTGCCTAGTTTTGGGCCTCTTGGATCCTAAATACCAAAAGTTTTTTGACCTAAGTTTTGTTTTAAGTTTGGTTGTTTAGATCTATTTTGCTAAAAGATAAAAGAAAAGTTTTTACAAAAAAAGATGCGAAAAAATAAAAACAAAAATTTTTGAAAAAAAATATTCCATTAAAAAAAAACTAAAGATCAATTTGAATATGGGTAAACCGAACATGGCCCAATGGAACTCTGGTCTCTCTGACACACTAATGCAATGCAAATGCAGTGTGTGATGTGCCCCACCAGGCCATTCCCATCCCCATGCATGTGCACTGAGTCCACCTCAATATATACACACCATATATCTCTCCACCTACACTCTGCCTGCTTGCAACCAATAACCATATACATACACACTTATATAGTACATCTCAAGCACAGCACACTAGTCCAGCACTCTAGCCTCTAGAAGTCTAGAGTCTAGCTTTGTCTTCGCATTTCACCCAGAGCAGGAGCAGCAGCAGAGGTACCGGCGGTGCCAAGAAGATCTCCAGAACAAAAGTGATGGCGCAGCTGCCGCCGAGGGCGCCGAGCGCCTTGCCGCAGGACCACTGGTCGGCGGGGGCGGAGTTCCTGGGGTTCGCCTCGGCGAGGCGGGGCGCGCACCGCCGCTCCGCGAGCGACTCGGTCGCGTTCCTCGAGGCCGTGCCCATGGACGACGTCATCGGCGGCGGCGGGAGCGCCGGCGACGACTTCGACCGCCTAGACGATGAGCAGCTCATGTCCATGTTCTCCGACGTCGACGCGCCGGCCGTCTCCGACGGCGGCGCCGGGGAGAGGGCCGGGGACGCGGCGCAGCTCATGGACGTCGGGGACGCGGACGACGGAATGGCGGCATCGTCGCCGGCCGCCGCGCGGGCGGCTGCGGACGGCGTCGCTGACCCCAAAAGGGTCAAGAGGTTAGTTGCAACTTGCAATTTCTCTAGTGTATAAAGTGATCTGCTAGTACATTTTAACTTTTTAAGTAGTCATCTTTTTCATCTACCAATCTACCATGGTAAAACAGTAGTTCTTTTATTCAAGACTAATTTTTTATTGTGGAGTCACGACTCAGGAGTGCCTTTAATTTGTCAATTTTTATGTTCATCTCTTAGATTAGGATTTCCAAATTGAAATTACCGCTGCATAGTTACTGTGGACCACTAATAGTTAAGTCAACTTGCAAAGTCCCCAGAGAGGGGGAGATAAAAGAAAGGGGGCTAATTTTCACCAGACGTTGAGAATTGAAAGGGAGGAAATGAGAAGAACTTCAAAATTTTAGCTCTTAAAACTTGAATTTATTTACCTACGTAGTGCACATTTATTCATGAATTCCACAACATTATTGTTCATATAACTTGTACACAATTTGTTTAAACTGAGCCTTTTAAGCAGGAACAAATACATTTGCTTGGTTCGTTGTCAATCTGTTTCACTCAAACAAAGTAACATACACAAGTATATATTGATCCACATGCATGTATTAATCGTAATTTCTTAACAACCATAGATCATAGATGCCTAGCAATCGTTCCAAAAGAAAAATTGACGAGTAGCAATATTTTTTCTCCGTTCCTTGGGTTTTTTTTTTTCAGGATATTGGCAAACAGGCAGTCAGCTCAGAGGTCACGAGTTAGGAAGCTGCAGTACATCTCGGAGCTTGAACGGAGTGTCACCAGTCTCCAGGTGACCACTTCTCTTCTTTCTCAGACTAGCTAGCTAATGGATTCACAGGCAGCACTTGAGCCATTCATTCTGAGATCCGATCCATCTGTTTCATCTTCTCTCTGCTGTTGCTAACTGCAGATGGAGGTGTCAGCACTGTCCCCTCGCGTGGCCTTCCTGGATCACCAGCGGTCACTGCTCACCGTTGGCAACAGCCATCTCAAGCAAAGAATCGCGGCGCTCGCCCAAGACAAGATCTTCAAAGACGGTATGTATGCTATCAGAATCAGATCATTCTGTTCAGTTTCACTAGACAGGCACGTACAGTAATGAATGATTAGAGCATGTCCGAGAGACTTTCTAAATCTCACTCTCTAAATCATCATTTGGAGAGTCATTTGCATAAAAATCGCTTTCGATACCTTTTCATTTTCCAACAGTTTTTCTATATCTCGTGCTTACTCTACAGAGCCATTCTCGTCTTCTATATTTGGCTAGCGAAAAATCCGGAATAAAAGATGGCTAGAGAAGCTGTTGGAGGATAGTTTTTTACCAAAATCTATATTGCTAGCATTTATGAAGGATATGGAGAGTCTTTTGGAGATGCTCTTAGGTGTCGATTTAAACTGATCGCAAGCTATGCATGCAAAATATAACAACAACGCAGCTCATCAAGAGGCGCTGAAGAAGGAGATCGAACGGCTACGCCAAGTGTACCAGCAGCAGCAGCAGATCAAGGTGGCCACCACCGGCGGCGCCGACATCGCCACGGCCGCCTCCATGCAGGCCAGGCAAGAGCTGCTCGCGTATGAGGGCGCCGCCATTCGATAGCGGAGAACGGAGGCGTTCATTGCACCAACTTTTGCTGGGTTTCTGGGGGCAATTCATCGTGCGTGGAAATACACGCGCCTGGTAGTAGCTTAATTTTTGTGCAGTCTCTGATCAATGCATGTTGGCTTTGTTTGCTGCTTCTTAATTAATTCGTATTATGTGATGTATTCTCCTCACCCTAGCAAAAAAAGTTGTGCAGGGATGAAGAGTTGTTGTGAATGAATGTATTTGGTTATTTTTTGGACGGGCTTACAATTTGTGTTGGTAAAGATTTTTTCCAAAGGTGATTGGTTGCTTCAGGTGTTCAAGTCATTTTTGTACAACTGCAAATGTCGTGCATTATCCCCAATGTCTGCTAGAAATATTCCTTGAACTCACTGGTATTTTGAACCAATTTTTGGCGTCACAACTCACAATACGATGAGGATGACAATTGCCTTGGAAAATTGGTGAGTGCTCGCTCCTTCCTAGTAAAATGTAAGTCAAACAATTCTAATTAGCTGTGTGGTTTAACTTTTTTTAGAAAAGAGAATATGTATTAATATTCCAGCCTCTGTATCGATCGATCCATAGTTCAGTTGTGTATCGCCCTTCCTATTGTTTTTATTCTTGTACGTACTCAAACCTCGTAGGTTATCATGTCGATTTGGGAGTGTAAAGCAGATAACCGGTTAGGAATGGAGGAAAACAAACTATGGATTTTTTTAAAAACTAACAAACTATGGGTTTTGGTGACAATGGCAATTAGCAATGACATGCTTAAACAACGTACTCCTAGGAGTTTTGCCATTTCTTTGGGCTTCATGGCAGCACGGGGACGGGCAGTATGCCAGTATGGGCTTTATTTAGTGTCCCCCGTGATTTTTTGTAATGGGCCGGAACCTAAAATGGCCGATACAATACAAGTGGGAGAAATCTGTACTGGCCTTTTGTAGACCTATTTAGGACATCGGCGGCAGCTTGGCAATTACAAGAGCCTCTCATAAAATTTAATCTATAGTTTCTCAAAAAAAATCTCTATACTTCAATGTGGAGAGCCATTTTATAGATGTTCTTTTTATATACTCCCTCTGTACTAGTAATTCAAATCGTTTTAGACAAGGTTTTGGTCAAATATTGGGAATATAAATCATGAATAAAACTTTTAAGTTATTGAGTTTGAAAATATGAAAACCATATTAATATATTTGTCTTGAAAATCAATTTCATAAAAATATACATATATCACTTTTCCAATAAATATTTTTATAAAAATAAGAAGTCAAAGTTATACTTTGAAGATCGTGTCGTGAACGACTTGAATTACCAGTACGAAGGAAGTATCTCTCATGTGTCTGACGAAATCTCTAGGCCCATCTAATCAGCGGACGTTCCCTCACAGTCAATCAGCGAACACTCAAACAACGCTCAACATTTTTTTCTTTTTCGACAAAGACGCCTTCTATTTTCTTTTTTTGGCCACGTAGTGCACATGAGCTGATTTTAATTAATGTAACACTTGTCCATGCCATCGGTATGGTTTCTTATTTATCTTTTGTCACACTGTATCATTTCTCTTTGCCACGCTCCGTCATTTTCTATTTTGACCGCAAATCATTCGGGACAACGGCGGAGAAACAAGCAAAATAATTGGGTGGGAGAGTCAAATAAAAAGCTTCTTTTACCAATTATAAGTAACTATTGTTGTTCAAGCATACAACTGCATTCAAATCACTGATCATGAAGAAAAATTTTCACTCCAAAGAAATTTCAAAAGTACATGACGTTTAAGAAGAATATATGCGTTTCTGAAAAAAGACCATCCATATTTTGTTGCTAAAGTCAAAACTCGATGCCATAGATGGAACGAGATTTGGAGTGTTACACAAACATAGAAATGTTTCTTTCCACCTCCTATATCTGCATTAGAAAAAAAAATTGTATTCACAAATTCAACTTCAAATAAATTATCTAGTATTTCATCAAAAAAATTATCTAGTAGTGGCTAGATCATAGTGGCTAATTCAGGTCACACACAGTATTAGTGGCTAGATCGTCCGAGGCCACACATGGCCTAGATACCTAGCGGAGGGAGGTTGACGAGGTCGATATGACGCTCGTTCTTCGCAAAAAAAAAGACGCCTTTTAGGAAGACTCATCGGAGAGATGTGCAGCGGGGGCTCTAGGATTAACGCCAGCAAATCTTGTCAAGAAAAGTGTTGGATAGCAAGGGGTTGAAAAGTTTGACGTATAGAAGATAAAAAGTAAATGTAGACGGATTTTGATGATTGGACTGATTCATCTCTCTATAGGTCGTGATCCTCTCATATAAACAGAGTGGTAGTCTTGTCTTAGTAAAAAAACTTATTTCGCAGGAAATATACAAGATTTCCATCGGCTAAGTTTTCATAAGGAAAAACACTTTTTTGGGCTCGGATTGTCAAAACTGGCGTGGACCATTTTGTACGGGGCGAATGTGAGGAATCAGCCAAATTTGTCTTGCGTTGTTTTTTTAGGATTTTTTTGTATTTGTTTCCTCAAATGATAATGAGAGGATGCGGGCATCCATCCCATCAGGATGTCGCATGCCGCGCCCCATCTCGCACCGCTCGCTTGCTCGCTCACACCCGTTCGATTGAGCCAAGGCTAGTGCGGTGGGGCTTTGTGGTGGTGGTGGTTGCCCGCTCCCTCCCGTCGCTGCGTTGCCTGTCTGGCTGAGCCAAGCCCGGTGCTGGTGGTGGTGGTGGTTGCGTGCCGCCGCTCGCTGCCAGCTCCGACCCCGACGGCTGGAATCGACCGGCCCCGGCCTCCCCTATGTTGTAAAACTTATGTTTTAAGTGTTTCAGATGTTAATGTTGCAAGTGTTTCATATGGATGTTGTAAAAGTAGATCAGGATGTTGCATATGTTGCAATGGTTGTACACGTATATTGCAAGCTTCCGTTCCTAATATTTCATATGTTTTTTTCAGACGTATGTTGCAAGTGTGTTTATCAGAATGTTGCTTATGTTTCACGTATATGTAAGTGTTTTATCTGAATGTTGCGTATGTTTAAATTGGTTTCAAGTGTTTTTCATGTGTTTTTGCAAGTGTTTCAGACGCATGTTTTAAGTGTTTCATCTAGATATTTCAAAAGTAGATCATGTGTTGCATCTACCTCATCGCCTTCTGCTGACTCGCCTTGATGTCTCCTCCTCCTCCAGACGCCGGATGGGCATCCGATATGACACTGCGGCCGGGGCACACCGTTGGTCCTTCCGAACCAGAGGCGCGGGCGGGCGCCGTCCCCTCTCCCTCTTCTCGATGCTGGTGACGTTCGAGCGGCGCGGGCCTCGCGTGGGGCGCTAGCACTGCCGTTCCTCTAGTTACTCCAAATTTGAATCTTTTTGTTCTTTTCTTGTTGACACGTATTTTTCCGATCTATCTTTAAATCTCTCATCTTTTTTCCCGCTGCCAACAAAATACTTCTTGGTTATAGCTGCTCGGAGCGGCAGTGTTCGGTAGCGCTCGACCGATTCTTCCTGAAGCGGAGCGGAGGGAGCGCTATGAAACATTTGGATTGCAATCCTAATTCCGACCGCCGCGTGGGCTTTGATTTAGAGGGATGGTCGCGTTGACGGAAGTCGCATCACGGGCCACGCGGTGGGCTCTCTGTATAAATAAATAAATAAACGGGCCATGTTGTGTTGGCACCCAGAGGATCGGACTCTGCATGTCGCGCGGCGGCGGCCATTCCGAGCCGACGATCGAGAAGCCCTTACCTACCGTTAGCAAGTGGGCAGAAGAGTCAGCGAGAGACGACTGGTTCGCTGGCTGGCAGCGACATGCACATGCGGATACGCGTCGTTATCTGGGCGTTACACGTGTTACGTGTGATACACCTGTCCAGAGAAATCACACACACACCAGTTCCTTACCTTTTCTTTTCCTTTTTTTTCACTATGTATAATCTGTGCGCCTTGACATGTGCCAGTTCCCAAACCGTCACCGGCGGGTTCCTTGCCGCTTTTGGCGCCTCCTCCTTTCCTCGTGTAGCCGTGTTGCGCTGGCGGCCGGCCGAGAGCCCGAGATGTGGGGCAAATTTCGGCCTGCCCGCAGCGTCTCCCCCGAGCCAGGTCTCCGGTCTCCCCCTCCATTCAAGGCATCAGCGCCCATCCCTGCACTAAACAACAGCACTAGTATACCCGATCATATCCCACTCTTGGCTGTTGGCGTCCTGCCCGCTTGCTCTTCCACTCGCAGCCCGTGGCCGTGCGTGACAATGCCCACGCGTCTCCCTCTCCCTCTCCCCTCCTCCTCCTCCTTGCTGTCGCCGGCGCCGCGTATGGCCGCCGCGGTATCTCTTCCTCCTCCTCCTCCGGCGGCGGCGGCCTGCTCCTCCTCCCCGCCGGCAGCAGTGATGATGGTGCCGGCGCGACGACGACGGTCCTCCGGCTCCCGTCGGCGGGGGAGGAGAAGGATCCGCCGGAAGCCGCCGCCTGCGAGATGACGTACGGCTTCCTGCCCTGCACCGACACCGTGCCCGGCAACCTCTTCCTCGTCCTCGCCTACGGCTTCCTCATGTTCAAGGCCGCCACCTACCTCTCCGCCGGCAGCGAGCTGCTACTCCAGATCCTTGGCCCAGGCATCGTCGGTGGCCTCTTCCTCCCCATCCTCGGCGCGCTACCCGACGCAATGCTCATCCTCGGTGCGTACCGTCTCTGCTTTCGTTTCGGTCATTCTACTAGCGGCCGTGATTCCGTCGCGTCCGCTCCATGTGAATGAGATCCACGCCGGCACCGCCGTCATCAACGCTTCACTAGCTAGTTACTATTTGGCGCTTCGTAGTTGCCTTGCATGTTACTTACTCTTCTGCTCATAAACAAAAAGTTCATGTTTGTCGGTTTCGAAAACCCGAAAGGTCGTCAAATAGGGGTAAAGTGAAACCATGGACGTTATTGGACTATGCATTGCCAGTGCACACAAGCTCCGTTAGCGTCCGACAAATGCGTGCTCTGTTCTTCATGAAAAAAAAACGTAGTCATATATATTTATTTATGATAAAAACGGGAGCATGCAACACTGTTCACTGTTTAGTACACTTGTTTCAAAGTTCAGTATGGTCATGGCATGTTTACCAGTAGTACACTTCTTTGAAGGTTCAGTATGATCAAGGTTTGTGTGTACTCACCAACATAGTATGCTTCTTTTGAGGTGCTATAACATGCAAAATTACTCAACTAGCAAGCTATCGATTCATTACCATGTTCTTCATCTGATTTGAGTTCTTATAAACACAGACACAGTTCATCTGTTTATCCATCACAATTGTACATCCACTTGATTGCATTCTACATGATGCAGATCCATGACCTGTTGTTTTTATGTTTCAGTCTCTGGGCTCTCCGGCACTAAAGAGGTTGCGCAAAGCCAGGTTTTGATTGGAATGGGCCTGCTTGCAGGTTCAACAGTCATGCTTTTGACCCTTCTCTGGGGATCTTGTGTTGTTGTTGGCAAATGTGATTTGTCGGAGAACTCAATTGCAACTGATTCTCGAGATACAAAAGGCTTCAGTCTTTTTGGTATGCTGAATATTTGCTGTGTTCTTCCTCATTTCCGTTCTATTCAATTCGGGCATCACCCATTATAGATCCATATTTAAGGAACATCGTTGTTTTAGCGCAAGACAGAAACCGTGTATTAATCAGGCAACCGCAGAAGGCAAGGCTACTCATGGTCTAAGTCTAACCAGGAAACAAGAAATTTAGTTCAGTTTCTACAACTATACTACAACTGCCTGTCTGTCAACATTTAAGATTTTTTTTTGCATTTGTCCTTATAGCATTTGCTAAATACCTTGTGCATTTTTGCAGGATCTGGTGTTTCTACTGATGTGCAGACCAGCTATGCTGCAAGAATCATGGCGATATCTGTGCTTCCCTTTATTATTGTTCAGATACCCCAAATTCTTAAGCTCCATTCTGGTCATCGTTTGACTGTCCTGCTTGGACTTATTGTTGCAGCTCTACTTGTGCTCGCCTATTGCCTATATCAGGTATTGTGCTGACCTCAGGAAACTTTGAACTCTACATCTTGGCAACTTATTTAATTCAACATTTTCATATAGAATTAGGGTGACTATTTTTCAAGTGGCTGAAAAAACAGCTGATTTTCACACTGTCCTATGCCCTTGGAACTGCATCAACTGCCTCAAACCATATGAAGTTTGGCTTTTGACTAGGATTTGGCTGAAAATTAAGTTTTTTTGAATAAGCTGAGAAATTGTCTCCATCAATTGATATAATTGTTGTATGGAGTTTTATTCGGAAAACATTGAAAAGGTTTATTGAACAAGACACTTGATAAAATCTAGAAATCGTCAATTTGAACCAAGAAAAATGTGACTCCGTGCCATCCAAATCCGGCTAGTTTTTCTCTAGATCCTTCATGTAACTTTTTATTAGGAATTCATTTACTGCTAAATTTCTGCGCTTCTGGAGTTCTGTCGCTGGCCTTTTGTCAGGAATTCTTTTACTGCTAAATTTCTGCGCTATTCTGGACTTCTGTCCCTGTTACTGCATTATGGAGAAATGTGCTTTCTGTATTAGAATCTATTTTGTTTTTTGTCTTCTCAATAGATGTCGATATTCCTTTGCTGAAGTGTCCTTTTTTTATCTGCATGCAATTTTTCATCACTGTCTGAATCTTTTCAAACAGATCTTTCAGCCATGGATCCAGAGAAGGAGGTTAGAATATGCAGGACTAAAGCACGTAATGTCTGGACTTCTAAGACATGCTCAGATGCACGTTTTTGGTCGTCTTCTTCATGAAGATGGAACACCAAATATACCTGTGATCGAGAAGTATGCCTTGGCACCCACCTCATCTCTTAGCTGTTTTTGCAATTGTAAATCTTTCAGAACCGAGATCCAATAAAAAAAATTTGCAGGTTGTTTCATAAGATTGATCTGGACAATGATGGAAAACTTGAACGCGGCGAACTACAAGCTTTCATCATTGGTGTTAAGTTCGAAGATGTTGACTTGGATAGTAACCTGGCTGTAGATCAAGTCATGGCAGACTTCGATAGATCACATAATTTTGTCATTGAAAAGGGGGAGTTTATCGACGGAATCTTGAGGTGGCTAGAAGAAGCGAAACGCTCGGTTGTTACCTCCGGTTCCTACTCGAAAAAGTTTCTGCAAGATTTTCACACAGTATGTTTTTCGGTCCGCATGTTTATCAAGTTTGTTCTTCATGGGCAATAATTAATCTGCATCAATCAACGTCCTGTATTTTTGCAGAGAACTAGGGATGAGCATAATCTGCTGCTTGGAAAGGACGATAACGATGGCGAAGCTATTGAAAACCCAACCTGGACCAGCTTTAAGGCCATTCTACTTTTGCTCCTGGGAACTGCAATGGCAGCGGCATTTGCAGACCCACTTGTTGACGCCGTGCACAATTTTTCAAACGCTACGAGTATCCCTTCGTTTTTCATCTCTTTCATTGCAATGCCCCTGGCTACCAATTCCAGTGAGGCTGTCTCAGCAATCATATTTGCTAGCCGGAAGAAGCAGCGGACTCTGTCACTTACATTCTCTGAGGTGTGTATGTCTGCTGAATACCTTCCCGTTGGAGTGGAATTGCATCTTTGTGAATACCTTTTGCATCTCTGTCATAAGTTTCAGATATTCCCATGTGATTGTGGATTGTGATGCCATCCTTTTAACAACCGCAGGTCTACGGTGGGGTGACCATGAACAACACGCTCTGCCTGGCCGTGTTCTTGGGCCTCATCTACGTGCGGGGTTTGACGTGGGATTTCTCGTCAGAGGTCCTCATCATCTTCCTCGTCTGCACCATAATGGGCCTCTTCACCAGCTTCCGGACAAACTTCCCACTCTGGACGTGTTTCGTGGCCTATCTGCTGTATCCGCTGTCCCTCGTCATCGTCTACGTCCTTGACTTTCAGTTCGGCTGGTCATAGACCTGCATGACCGTCTGGAGCTTAGCTTGTAACACATTGCACATATGTTGATATAACCTACACGTACATTGTTTAACGTTATACGATGGGCAAAACATCAGATTCTCCATGCGAATTACGTCTTTGTTACGTAGTACTATACTCCGCTCGTGTATGTGCTTTTTTAGAACTTTATTTAAATAGAAAACGTAATAAGTATTCAAAAGCTAACAAACGTAGGTGTTCGTGGATAGACTTGGGGCTCAATATTGCTGCTCTCGACCTACGTAAGGGTGTGTCAGCCAGGATAGGTAGAGGCTGGTCCAGCAGGTGCAACTTTCTGTGTTCGGTTGTTTTTCCCCGCAGAGCCAGGCTGTTACAGTGTTTGTTTAGTTCCACGATGAGATATAGTCACCTTGCAGCAACACGGGGGTAGAGTTACCCCTGCTCTCACCATTTGGGCATTCCATCGAGCACCTGCTCTACAGCTATACTAGCGGAGGTCGGAGCGCCGGAATGACCCACTCTACCCGTAGGGACCACCACCTCCATCTCGCCGTGGATCCCCAGCACCCTGTCCGCCATCTCCGCCATGGACGCGGTGCCCATGTCGACGTGCCGCGGAGCTCGAGCGTGGACCCAAGGCGCTGTGGCACCAGCGGTGCATAGAACGTGCTACGACATTAGCAGGGAGGAGGCGCCACGCCGCCGCTAGCCGCGAGCAGCCCCCAGGAGAAGAAGCGCTGGAGCTTCAAGCGGCCCACGCCGGCGCCATCCTCGTTGGCATCGCTGGAGCTGTTGGCGCGCGAGATCGACGATAGCGATCACGCCGCGGTGATGGCTGACGTGGTGGCTCGTTTGACGGCTGCAGCACCTTCTCCGGCGGCAGTGGCGGAGGAGCCCTCATCCCTGTACGCGGCGGGTGCGGTGGCGCCGAGACAGCTGCAGGAGGACGTGACGCGGTGGCGGAGGCAGCACCGCAGGAGTCGCAGCAGGCGGACGGCATCGCTCGGGAGCCACGGCATGGAGGAGGAGGACGGGAGGAGCGGCTCCGCGGTGGCCTCCGAGCTTTGCGTCCGTACCGTGGAGAAGAGGAGGCGGGTGAGAGAAACGCTAAGGGCTAATTTGGAAACTCAAATCCCCTTGGGATCCCTGACTTTTTCCAGGGTGGAAAATCCATGGGAAAATAATTTGAATAATCATTTAGTTCTTCATGGAGGGGTTTTTCATCCCTGGGTGTGCCTCCCCTTGCTTCCAAATTAGCCCTAAGCGGTGATGAAACCCAGCCGTCGCGAACGAGAGAGCCAGGAAAGAGCCAGGTCCGGAGGAAACGAAGTCCATTTCCGTTTCTCGCCGGCCCGGCCCAAACCTGCTTTAAGACGCGTGCGAGCCGGGCCCATAGCTTGTTCAGGGAAACAAACACATCCAGTTGTAGCTCGTGAGCCTATCCCAAAAGGCTGTCCAGACAATCAAACACGCCCTAAGTGTCCGAAGTTTATTAGTGGGTAAACTTTGGGCACGACTAAAATCTCTTCCTCCTCACCCAATCGCTCGTTGTGCAGTTCTCATTACGACAGCCGCGATGCCTGCACCGACCGCTGAGCTAGCGCTCCTGACGGCCTTCCTCTGCGTCCCGTCCCCGATCCTCCATGCCGCTCCTCGGCGCCGCATTCTCTGACTCCCCCACGCCCTTCTCCCACCATGCCTCCCTCCCATGCCCGTGCGGCGGGCCCTGAGCGCTCTTCGTCGGCATCTCTGTCTCGGGCCTCACTTTCTTCGTAGCGTCACGGCTCCATCCTCCTTCTCCACCGTAACCTAGCGCCAGATCCCATTGTGTAATGCTCCGCCAGCCCACCCGCCTGCAAGGGTTTACTGAAAAGCGCATGTTGCAAGTGTATGTTTCAAGTGTTTCAGATATTTCAGAGGTATGTTGCAAGTGTTTCATATGGATGTTGCAAAAGTAGATCGGGATGTTGCATATATTGCAATGGCTATACACGTATGTTGCAAATGTTTATTACAAATGTTTCATCTATTTTTTAGAAGTATGTTGCAAGTATATTTATCTAGGTGTTGCATATCTTCAAACATATGTTGCAAGTGTTTTATCTAAATGTTGCATATATTTTTGTAATAGCTTTTCAAGTGTTTTTAGGTTTTTTTGCAAATGTTTTAGATGCATGTTTTAAGTGTTTCATCTGTCTCAGACATATGTTGCAAATGTTTCATCTGTATGTTTCAAAAGTAGATCAGGTATTGCACATGTTGCAATGGCGCTGGTGGCTGGCGGACAGCGGCCTACCGCAAGGCTTTGGCTCCTTCCTCGTGCGGCGCACCTCGCCCTCTCCTCTCCTTCCCCTCCATTCCCTTCCCTCCCTTCCCTTCCTTCCCTCTATCTTGATGCGGCAATTCGAGCTCGGCGAGCGTGATGACGTGGATGCCCGACAAGCGCGATGCCCGCGGATATGGTGAGCCCGATGAGCGTGAGGAGGTGGTGGGCTGACGGCGGGTCTGATGCTCGCGTGGTGGCCCCGTAGGAAGCTGAAAGGTCCTAAATGGCTAAAAGGAGGGTGAATAGCCTATAAAAAATCTCTACAAAATCACTAGAGCAATTGATTAGTACACTAAATGACGTAATGCAATTTTGCTCTAACTCTACAAGGGTTGCAAGCCACCTATACCAATAATTCTAGTTGTTATGATATCTAAGTACACACAAGCCTAAGTCACTACTCTCTAAGTTAGTAAGCTCTTAAAGACTAACTAAAAAGCCTCACTAACCAAACTAACAAGGTCTCAAAGACTAACTACACTAAAGAGCTTGACTAGGCAAGAATGTAAACAATGTAAATACAAGAGAGTGTGTAGGGTGATTATACTGCCGTGGCAAGTGAGATGAACCAATAAATGAATACCAAGACAATCACTGGGAGAAGTCCAATACACAAAAGACAATCAATTTTTCCCCCAAGGTTCACATGCTTGCCGGCACGCTAGTCCCCGTTGTGTCGATCAACACTTGGTGGTTTGGAGTCTAATTGGCACCACACCAAGCCTTCACTAGGCGCTGCAAGAACCTACCACAAGTGAGGTAACTCAATGACACGAGCAATCCACTAGAGTTACCTTTTAGCTCTATGCTGGGGAAAGTACAACACCCCCTCACAAACACCGGAGATGGCCACGAACAATCATCAACTCATGCTAATGCTCCTCCGCTGCTCCAAGCCGTCTAGGTGGCGACAACCACCAAGAATAACAAGAAATCCACAGCCACAATGATCCCCAAGTACCACTAGATGCAATCACTTAAGCAAATATACTAGGAATCACTCCCAATCTCACCATGATGATGAATCAATGATGTAGGTGAGTGAGAGGTATTTGCTTAGGCTCACAAAGATGTCAAGTACGTCAAAGTATCAAGAGAGTGAGCCAAAGCCGAGCCAAGTCTATTTATAGAGCCCTCAAGGCTCCACTAGCCGTTAGGCCACGGGAAGGGCCGTCGAACCCAACTCCATGGGGCGTTGGACCATCCGACGCAGGGGTCTGACGCCCTACCATGACCACTCCCGCGAAGACACGCGTCCTGTTTGAACAAAACAACCGTTGCTGCCTAAGAATGCACCGTCAGACTCAGCCAGGTGCCACCATCGGACCGACCGACGCCCAGAGTCCGATGCCCGCAAAAATTACACCTAGAGGGTCCAGAGCCAGGTTTTTAGTCAGACCCTGGTCTAACGCCTACCGTCGGACCCAGGCAATGGTCCGACGCCTCCACGTGTCACGCTCGTGTCAACCTCCTCGTCAGCTAGGCACTATCGAACCTGAGGAACAGTGTTCCCATCATGTCCGATGCCTCCTGCTTGTGTGATCTGACGCTGCTACGCCCGCGCCTGAGGGCAAGGGTTGGCCGTCGGACCCGGCCAGGCAAGGTCCGATGCCTCCTGAGCCAGGGTCGGACGCCCCTGCTCCTCTTCTCCTTTTTCCAACACTTCAACCACTTCACCCTTGCTTATAAGTTGCTAACCACAAAGTGTAGAACTAGTGTGCACGTGTGTTAGCATTTTCAAGGGTCAATTGTTAGCATGCTAGGTCCGTAATGTATATGCAAGAATCATATCACCTAGTGGCACCCGATAACCGCTTAGCCAAAGATTTTTCCTCTTTATAGTATGGCTATCGATCCTAAACACACTCACACGCTCTATGGTGTCTTGAGTGCCAAAAACAAAAACCTATTTGATACATTTGCCTTGATCACCTTAGTTTTTGTTTTTCTCTTTCTTTTCCAAGTTGGAGCTTGATCTCCATCATCTCATGTCCATCTCCACCTCCATGGACTTCTAACTTGCTTCATCACTTGGTGTGTACCAACCCAACTCATGATCACACTTGATGACATAGGTTAGTTCTTATGTTTCATCAATTATCCAAAACCAAACTAGGGCTTTCAATCTCTCCTTTTTGGTAATTGATGACAACCTTTTCACAAAGATATTCAATGAAATCTTTTTGGATTCATGTTGCTTGCCCAAGCATTTTACCATATGTAAAGGATATGGACAAGTTTCATAAACCCGAATTGGTTGCATTAGCTCTCCCTACATATGTGCTAAGAGTTTAGATTTGAAAGCTTGCACATATGCATGGATTGGGAAGTGTGGGAGAGTAATGACCACCAAATGATGCTAAGATGTAAAGAATGGATCTTTAAAGCGTGATACCAATCGGAGTTACCAATAATACTATCTTTAGCACCATGGTTAGTTAGATAGCACTTGCAAAACACAAACACTAGATACCTCGTGAGATCAATACTATAAGCAAGGCTCTAGTTCCATTTGTAAAGCAAGCAAGGCACATATAACTATCATCATATGCATGCTAGTTTTGCATTTCATCAATCAATCCTACAACTAGCATACACCACAACAAGCATGGATATAGAATTAAAAAACTTATGCCATGCAAGCAGACATATGTAATGCACATTCAAATGCATCAAACAAGTTTATGAG